AGGAGGAAAGGAGGAAGGAAAAAGAGAAGGGAGGAAGGAAGGGTGGAAGGGAAAGGACAGAGGAAGGGAGGGAGGAAAGAGAGAAGGAAGGAAAGACAAAAGAGTGGAAGGGAAGGAGGGAGGGAAGGAGAAAAAAGGGGGGCAAGGAAAGGAGAGAGGTAAAGAAGGAGGAAGGAAAAAGAGAAGGAAGGATAGGATGATGAGAGAGAGGAGGGCCTGAGAAAACAGCCCAAGGGGCCACATCCGGCATGTGTTTTCCCATGTCTTGGATAAACAGTCTAATTTCTCCTAAAGAGCACCTAAAGCTTTGGAGAGCTTCTGTTCAACCATTTCAAGGCTCCCTGTTTGAGTGGTGATGGCATGATTGTCAGCATAGATGAAACTCTCTGTCCTTTCTGGCAGTGGCAAATCATTTGTTTAAATGTTAAACATTGATAGAGCAAGCATGCTTCCCCAAGGCAGACCGTTCTTCTGTTTTCACCATCTGCTTCTCTGACATTGGAACTCAACAAAAAAGCTCCTGTGAAGCACCAGAACTATTTTGAAAGATAAGGTTAAAGACCTTACAAAACTACAACTTGAATAATTCCATTGCATTGAGCCCTGGCAGTTATTTGTGTGTGTGTGTCAGGAGCGACCTGAGAAACTGCAAGTTGCTTCTGGTGTGAGAGAATTGGCCGTCTGCAAGGACGTTGTCCAGGGGACGCCTGGATGATTTGATGTTTTATCATCCTTGTGGGAGGCTTCTCTCATGTCCCCGCATGAGGAGCTGGAGCTGATAGAGGGAGCTCATCCGCCTCTCCCCGGATTTGAACCTGCGACCTGTCGGTCTTCAGTCCTGCCGGCACAGGGGTTTAACCCACTGCGCCACCGGGGGCCCTGGCAGTTAAAGTGGTGTCAAATGATATTAATTCTGCAGTGTGGATGTACTATTATCCCTGCCAATCAAAGTCTGGGTTCTTTTGCTCCCTTACCCCAATGGCCGGATTGTGATTTCTGGCATCCGTTCTATAGTGTATTGATTCACTTTTGGATGGGTTAGGATTTGTGACCAAATGCAAAAGCAAAGTTTTGACATCCCTGTCATGTTGCAAGCAGATTGCCGACAGAACAGAGACTGGCATCTTTTAGGGGAACAAAATTGCCTTTACTGTTCAAACAATTTAATTTCACAACAGGCATGGGAAGCTAAGGCCATCATTCCTCTGGGAATATGGTGACTTTGGAAGATGTTCTCTGCTACAAAAATACTAGAGGAGTATGGAAAGAAAGAAATTAAATCCTTGGTATAAATATATGTATTGTTGGTATTAAGAGAATTGGAAACTATGGTTATTTTTACCATAGTGCCGTGGTTCTCAACCTTCCTAATGCCGCGACCCCTAAATATAGTTCCTCATGTTGTGGTGACCCCCAATCATAAAATTATTCTCGTTGCTACTTCATAACTGTAATTTTGCTAACCTTATGAATCATAATGTAAATATGTGATATGCAGGATGTATTTTAATTTACTGGAGCAAATTTTGCACAAATACCCGATATGCCCATATCGGAATGCTGGTGGGGTTGGGAGGGAGGATTGACTGTGTCATTTGGGAGTTGTAGTTGCTGGGACTTATAGTTAACCTACAATCAAAGAGCATTCTGAACTCCGCCAATGATGGAATTGAACCAAACTTGGCACACAGAACTCCCATGACCAACAGAAAATACTGGAAGGGTTTGGTAGGCATTGACCTTGAGTTTTGGAGTTGTAGTTCACCTACATCCAGAGAGCCCTGTGGATTCAAACAATGATGGATCTGTATTGTCGAAGGCTTTCATGGCCAGGATCACTGGGTTGTTGTAGGTTTTTTCGGGCTATATGGCCATGTTCTGGAGGCAATGTTTCTCCTGACGTTTCGGATGCTTGCCATAGATGCAGGCGAAATGTCAGGAGAAAAATTGCCTCCAGAACATGGCCATATAGCCCGAAAAAACCTACAACAACCCAATGATGGATCTGGACGAGATTTGGCACGCATACTCAATATGCCCAAATGTGAACAGTCGTGGAGTTTGGGGAAAATAGACCTTGACATTTGGGAGTTGTAGTTGCTGGGAAATGGTATACCTACAGTTTGGCCACCAATGATAGAATTGGGCCAAACTTCCCACACAGAACCCCCATGCCTTGAAGGGACTCGTTGGTGCGAGTCTCCCTCCCACCTCGCACGCTCTCCCTCATCCATATATGCGCATCATGCTGCCATGTGCCAAGCATGCCTGCTCTCCTCTCCCCACTTGGAATCTCAGAAAAAGCCCTCTGCTTGGTTGAGAGACTGGCTGAAAAGCCGGCCAATCACAGTGGAGGAGGGCTTTTGGTGGGAGGATTCGCCGTCTGTTTCCAGAAAGAAAGAGAAGGACAGTCAGAGAGATTGTCAGCCTTCTCTGCCAAAGGGGTTCCTAAGACCATCAGAAATATATGTTTTCTGATGGTCTTTGGCGACCCCTCTGAAACCCCCTTGTGACCCGCCCCCAGGTTGAGCAACGCTGGTCTAGGTCCTCTAGTGCAACTTGATTTGCACTAGAGGACCTAGAGATTCCTAGAAATATTATTTTGATCAAATCCACAAATAATCCAATTGGTACATTGCTTCATTGACTATTCTAAATCCTTTGACTGTGTGGATCATAATAAATTGTGGCAAGTTCTTGGTGGGATGGGCATCCCAAGCCACCTTGTCTCTCTCCTGAGGAATCTGTACAAGGACCAAGTAGCAACAGTCAGAACTGACCACGTAACAACAGACTGGTTCAAGATTGGGAAAGGCGTACGGCAAGGCTGCATACTCTCACCCAACCTTTTTAACTTGTATGCAGAACACATCATGCGATGTGCGGGGCTTGATGGATGCAAAGCTGGGGTGAAAATTGCTGGAAGAAACATTAACAACCTCAGATATGCAGATGACACCACTCTGATGGCCGAAAGCGAGGAGGAGCTGAGGAGCCTTCTAATCAAGGTGAAAGAAGAAAGCGCAAAAGCTGGGTTGCAGCTAAACGTCAAAAAAAAAACCCCAAGATTATGGCAACAAGAATGATTGACAACTGGAAAATAGAGGGAGAAAATGTGGAGGCCGTGACAGACTTTGTATTTCTAGGTGCAAAGATTACTGCAGATGCAGACTGTGGCCAGGAAATCAGAAGACGCTTACTTCTTGGGAGGAGAGCAATGTCCAGTCTCGATAAAATAGTAAAGAGTAGAGACATCAGACTGGCAACAAAGATCCGCCTAGTCAAAGCCATGGTATTCCCTGTAGACCTACGGATGTGAGAGCTGGACCTTAGGGAAGGCTGAGCGAAGGGAGATAGATGCTTTTGAGCTGTGGTGTTGGAGGAAAGTTCTGAGAGTGCCTTGGACTGCGAGAAGATCCAACCAGTCCATCCTCCAGGAAATAAAGCCTGCTCATTGGAGGGAAGGATACTAGAGACCAAGTTGAAGTACTTTGGCCACATCATGAGGAGACAGCAAAGCCTAGAGAAGACAATTATGCTGGGGAAAGTGGAAGGCAAAAGGAAGAGGGGCCGACCAAGGGCAAGATGGATGGATGGCATCCTTGAAGTGACTGGACTGACCTTGAAGGAGCTGGGGGTGGTGACGGCCGACAGGGAGCTCTGGCGTGGGCTGGTCCATGAGGTCACGAAGAGTCGGAGATGACTGAACGAATGAACAACAACAACAAATTAAAACTTCCCAATATAGAGGGCGGCATATACTCTTTTCCAGCTGAAGACTGTAATGGTGAGATGTTCTTTCTTCTTTCTCATGGGCCAGCCTCTCTAAATGATATTTCATTCTTTTAAAAGGGTGTGGATATTTAAATTATGATATCTTGAGCTACAACAAGCTAGTCAGCCTTTTATTATGCTGGCGAAACCTTGGCTCACACGCTTGTCTCTAAATTTGCAACAGACACTAGAGAAAGCGGAGGCCAAAATGTTATTACCCAATAAATTTTAAGCTTATCTGCATTTTCCCAGGCGTTTAATTCCATAGACCGATCTCAACGTTGCCTTGAAATGGCTTTGTCTTGGAATACTATGGCTACGTTTGGACTACGGAGGTTATCCATTTGGCAAAGGATTTTGTACAGTTAGCACTAAAAATAAAGACATTGAAAGGATCAAGATGCTTTCCCAAGGAGGACAAAATGCAACATCTGGAACATTATAGTTTATTTTTTTTAAGAATTATAGTTTATTTTTTTTAAGCTGGAGACCTCACAATATATACAATTTACAAAATTAGGTTCAGTGCAGAGAAAGTGGTTACGGAAACTCCCTTTCCATTAACGCTGCAATTCAGAAGTATGCAGTTTAGAGGATGCTGAAAGATGGAGAGCATTCTCGGAAAGCTGACATTCAGAGCTTGGAAGTAACTTGTGACAAACAAGAAGTGATTTTTCATTACTCCCAGTTTGGGGAATAATTAGGGGTGCATCTACACCAGTGTTTCTCAACCCTCCTAATGCTGTGACCCCTTAATACAGTTCCTCATGTTGTGGTGACCCCCAATCATAACATTATTTGTTTGAGGACTGGGACATCCGTAGGGATACCAAGGTGCTTGTTTATAGAGCTATTGTCCTCCCAACCCTGCTATATGCCTGTGAGACGTGGACTGTCTACAGACGTCACATGCAACTCCTGGAACGATTCCATCAGCGATGCCTCCGGAAAATCCTGCAAATCTCTTGGGAAGACAAGTGGACAAACGTCAGCGTGCTGGAAGAAGCAAAGACCACCAGCATTGAAGTGATGGTTCTCCGCCATCAACTCCGCTGGACCGGCCACGTAGTCCGGATGCTCGACCACCGTCTCCCAAAGCAGTTGCTCTACTTCGAACTCAAGAACGGAAAACGGAATGTTGGTGGACAGGAAAAGAGATTTAAAGATGGCCTCAAAGCCAACCTTAAAAACTCTGGCATAGACACTGAGAACTGCGAAGCCCTGGCCCTTGAGCGCTCCAGCTGGAGGTCAGCTGTGACCAGCAGTGCTGCAGAATTTGAGGAGGCACGAATGGAGGACGAAAGGGAGAAGTGCGCCAAGAGGAAGGCGTGTCAAGCCAACCCCGACCGAGACCGCCTTCCACCTGGAAACCAATGCCCTCACTGCGGAAGAAGATGCAGAACAAGAATAGGGCTCCACGGCCACATACGGACCCACAAGAATACTGGAAGACAATCCTCCTCGGAAAGCGAGGGATCGCCTAAGTAAGTAAAGTAAATAAGTGTTCATAATTTTAATGTTGCTGCTGTTATGATTTGTAATGTAAATATCTGATATGCAGGATGTATTTTCATTCACCGGAACAAATTTGGCACAAATACCCAATACACCCAAATTTGAATACTGGGGAAGGGGGTTGTTTTGCCATTTGAGAGATGTAGTCGCTGGGATTTATAGTGTGTTGTTGTAGGTTTTTTCGGGCTATATGGCCATGGTCTAGAGGCATTCTCTCCTGACGTTTCGCCTGCATCTATGGCAAGCATCCTCAGAGGTAGTGAGGTCTGTTGGAACTAGGCAAAAGGGGTTTATATATCTGTGGAATGACCAGGGTGAGACAAAGGACTCTTGTCTGCTGGAGCTAGGTGTGAATGTTTCAACTGACCACCTTGATTAGCTGGGATTTATAGTTCATCTATAATTAAAGAGTTTTCTGAACTCCACCAGCGATGGAATTGATCATACTTGGCACACAAAACTTCCATGGCCAACAGAAAATACTGGAAGGGTTTGGTGGGCATTGATCTTGAGTTTTGGAGTTGTAGTTCACCTAAATCCAGAAAGCACTGTGGACTCAAACAATGATGGATCTGGACCAAACATGGCACAAATACTCAATATGCCCAAATGTGAACACTGATGGAGTTTGAGGAAAAAGACTTTGACATTTGGGAGTTGTAGTTGCTGGGAATTATAGTTCACCTACAATCAAAGAACATTCTGAACCCCACCAATGATAGAATTGAGCCAAACTTCCCACGCAGTACCCCCATGACCAACAGAAAATACTGTGCCTCCCTCCAGCCTCACATGCTCTCCCTTGCCTGCACATATGCACCACGCTGCCATGTGCCGAGTACGCCTGCTCTCCCCTTCCCCACTTGGCGTCTCAGAAACAGCCCTCCCCTTGTCTGAGAGACCGGCTGAGAGGCTGGCCAATCATAGCGGAGGAGATCTTTTGGTGGGAGGATTCCTTGTCTGTTTCCAAAGAGTCTTGCTCTACTGGCCTCCTATATAGGCCTACCTACAATATCATAACGGCGCTCCATGCAGTCATGCCGGCCATATGACCTTGGAGGTGTCTATGGACAACGCTGGCTCTTCGGCTTAGAAATGGAGATGAGCACCAACCCCCAGAGTCAGACATGACTGGACTTAATGTTAGGGGACTACCTTTACCTTTACCTACAATATCATAAATCACTCAAGAATCCTGGTACCTGGAGGTTGCCCCTTTCCACATTCCAGAGCCTAGTTCTCCACCCACCTTTGGGTAATTGAGTTTTATGGCTGGTTCATATGTCCTGTACTACCTTTTGGCCCATGACCATGTGCTCTGTGTTTTAGCGGCTGGCTGACAGTTGTATGACATGAGCTAGAGATCATGACAAAGAGAAGGACAGGTGGAAAGATCTTCAACCTTCTCTGCTAAAGGGGTTCCCAAGACCATCAGAAATATATATTTTCTGATGGTCTTTGGAGACCCCTCTGAAACCCACACTCGACCCCCTCCCCAGGGGTCCCAACCCCCAGGCTGAGAAACGCTGATCTACACTGTAGAATTACTGCAGTTTGATACCACATTCACTATCATAGCTCAATGCTATGGTATTCTGGGAGTTGTAGTTTGATGAGGCACCATCAGTCTTTGACCTTGAAAAACTACAACTCTCACGATTTCAGGAACAATTGGGGAATGCCTTGCACTGCAGCTAATTACTCTTAAAATGTAGTTTTTCAAGCTCTGTTATCAGTCACTAAAAAGCTAATGTCAAAACAAACCGATCACTAAAATGTATAAATAATAAGATGCACTGTATTCCACAATGAATTATAGTACTGAATACATTGGGGTGCATTTGTATCATGTTTTCTGATAAAAAAGCAATGGAAAACATTGAAGATGTATTTGATTGCTCCCGGTTCTTCCTCCACCACCCAAGAGGAAAATATTTTCAAGCGATACATCCTACAAATCATATTTTAGAAAAGCTACAGCTCAGATGCTTTCATTGGTGGGCTGTTGAGTATTATATGAAAAGACCAAGTTATATACAGTAAGATCCCTGAATCTGTTGGGGAACGATTTTCAGCTAGACGGTGATCACCGGGAACCATAGATACAACCAAACACAGTTGAATAATATGACATATGGTTCTAAAGTTATGTTGGAGGACCTAACGATTACTCGAGGGGCATCCTCTCTAGAAATTTACTAGGTCTTCCAGTGTAATTTTATGGTAACTTTTAGGGACAACATACCATAGAATCTCTTGGGGGAACCTAGCATATAGAGACCATTTCCCTCATGGGATACGTAAGTAAAACCATAGATATTAGTAACGTGGTTATGGGGGGGGGGGTGTCATACTGTATTTGCACAGTCACAATGACATAAAGACTTGGGATGCATCTTGGGCTTATTGTGTGGCTGCTGTTCCTTTGTGGTCAACAAACAGTGTTCCCAGTATGCCAAGAATCCTTTGCACAAGTCTGAAAGGAGTCACCATTCTGTGCCTGGGTTCCCTTGTGGCTATCCATCTCAGCCTTTTGGCAACCGACAACAGGCTCCCTTAGTCCTCTCTGAAATCCACAGGTCGGATCATCATGCTGGTCATCTTGAGGCTATGGCTGGGCCCTTTCCAATAGTGCCACTTCATGCCGTTGTATCTCATCATGGCAGGTGAAGGTGGGAAGTAAATGCCATTCAAGTTTGAGGGTCCACATGCATCAAACCACCAGCCTGGAGCATCAGAAAGATGTATTAGAAAGAAGAAGAAAATATCAAGACCAAGATAACTTAAAGGTATTCATTCCTACAGCACTCCTCTCACTAGTTGTTTCCCAGAATGATGGAGACATAGCATGTCACAAGAAATATGATGTGAATATTTGACAAATGTGGATTTAATATGTGTGGGTTTGAATGAAACTGAATGACAGGAATTAATGAATGAGAGCTAATGGTTTTGGAGACACCATTCTGAAATATTACGGCCTGCAGTGACTAAATCATTAACTGCCTGCCTTCTGGACTGTAATTAAAAGTTGCTAATGAGAACTGAAAAAGTAAACTGTGATAAGAACTGTGACAATGATAAGAGAAATGTTTACATCTGTCAACATTTGCTGACTAGAAACTGGATTAACTCTAAAGGCTGTTTACATTAGTCAAAGACAATGCTCTTTCAAGTCAAACTCAGAACTTGACTTTGTCTTTGACTTTGACTTGTGTGCCAACTGCGCCCGTACCTTGGGAAGTCTGATCTGGCCACAGTGGTCCACGCTCTTGTTACATCCCGAATAGATTACTGCAACGCACTCTACGTGGGGTTGCCGTTGAAGACTGTTCGGAAACTTCAATTAGTCCAACGGGCGGCAGCTAGATTACTCACCGGAGCATCATACAGCCCCTCTACTATGTCAGCTCCACTGGCTGCCGATCCAGTTCCGAGCACAATTCAAAGTGCTGGTTTTGACCTACAAAACCCTTTATGGCTCCGGCCCAGCGTACCTGTCCGAACGTATCTCCTTCTACGTCCCACCTCGGAGTTTAAGATCTTCTGGGGAGGCCCTGCGCTCGGCCCCACCTTTATCACAAGTGAGGATGGCGGGGACGAGGGACAGGGCCTTCTCGGTGGCGGCCCCTCGCCTGTGGAATTCACTCCCCAGGGAAATTAGGTCATCAACATCCCTCCTCTCTTTCAGAAGGAAGTTAAAAACCTGGATATGGGACCAGGCCTTTGAGTAAGCTGGCAGATGGATAAAGACAATGACGACCAGAGTAGGAAAGGACTATTATTATTATTATTATTATTATTATTATTATTATTATCTTTATTTGTACCCCGCTAGCATCTCCCGAAGGACTCGATGCGGCTTACAAAGGCCAAGGCTTCAAACACAATATAACAATACAACACTTAAGCAAATTAAAAACAGTTAAGCAATATTAGACAAACAAATAATAAACAATACATCAGGACACTATAAAACTGGGGCCGGGCCAAAGTAATGGGTACAAGATTAAAAGTGCTGATGTGCCAGGTGGTAAATAAGGATTATAAGGTATGTGCAGTGTGAGATGTGCAGCAATCTTGGTTCTATTAAAGTGCTTCTGGGACTTGTTGTTGGGGATTCCTATTCTGGAAAGACACATCGGGCCTGTCTAAGGTCTTTAGGGAGGGTGTGCCAGAGTCGGGGGGCCACCACCGAAAAGGCCCTGTCTTGTGTCCCCACCAAGCGCGCCTGCGACGCCGGCAGGATCACGAGCAGGGCCTGTCCAGATGACCGAAGTGAACGTGTGGGTTCATAAATGGAGATGCGGTCACGAAGGTAGGCTGGTCCCAAACCGTTTAGGTTTTATAATGTTGGATGGACTATGGATTTATGAATTGGTGAACGTTGACCACAAGATGATTTTATTGCTGCTATGGTGTTAATTTGATTGTTTTAAATAGTTATAATTGTTGTTGTTATATTGTATTTTGTATATTGTATTTTGTGAATTGTTAGGCATCAAATTGTGCCTTTTGTAAGCCGTGCTGAGTCCCCCTTAGGGGGTTGAGAAGGGCGGGGTAGAAGCGCTCGAAATAAATAAATAAATAAATAAATAAATAAATTTCAAGTCAAGCCCGTAACACAATGGTTACCTTAAGACAAACATCTATGTCAGGAGGTGAAGACTCAAGATAATTTCAATGGGACAATTATTTACTACATCAGCAGAATATTCCTATAAAAGGCTCAATCTAATAATTCTCAAATTGTGGCAGACCAGAGGAGTCTGGCTCACCTGGTATGCTCTGCTCCATTGGGAAGGAGAGAGAGAGTGTATGTATGGAGAGTATCAGATCTGCTATAGGAAAGCAGGATTCTATACACTTTTGGCTTCTTTCTCAAGGGAAGAGGAAGAACTGCATTTTGGAATCATGATACATTTGCAAGGAATAAGGTTTGGTGGGCATTGACCTTGCGTTTGGAGTTGTAGTTCTCCTACATCCAGAGAGCACTGTGGACTCAAGCAATGATGGATCTAAACCAGTGGTTCTCAACCTTCCTAATGCCGCAACCCCTTAATACAGTTCCTCATGTTGTCGTGACTCCCAACCGTATAATTATTTTTGTTGCTACTTCATAACTGTAATTTTGCTACTGTTATGAATCACGATGTAAATATCTGATATGCAGGATGTATTTTCATTCACTGGACCAAAGTTGGCACAAATATCCCATATGTCCAAATTTGAATACTGGTGGGGTTGGCTGGGGGTGGGGATGGGGTTACTGACTTTGTCATTTGGGAGTTGTAGTTGCTGGGATTTATAGTTCAACTACAATCAAAGAGCATTCTGAGCCCCACCAATGATGGGCCGAACCAAACTTGGCACTCAGAACTCCCACAACCAACAGAAAATACTGGAAGGGTTTGGTGGGCACTGACCTTGAGTTTTGGAGTTGTAGTTCACCTACAAGCAGAGAACACTGTGGATTCAAACAATGATGGATCTGGACCAAACTTAGCACAGATACGCAATATGCCCAAATGTGAACACTGGTGGAGTTTGTGGAAAACAGACCTTGACATTTGGGCATTGTAGTTGCTGGGATTTGTAGTTCACATACAATCAGAGCATTTTGAACCCTACCAATGATAAAATTGGGCCAAATTTCCCACTTGGAACCCCCACGACCAACAGAAAATACTGGAAGGGTTTAGAGGGGATTGACCTTGAGTTTTGGAGTTGTAGTTCACCTACATCCAGAGAGCACCGTGGACTCAAGCAATGTTGGATCTGGACCAAACTTGGCACAAATACTCAATATGCCCAAATTTGAACACTGGTGGAGTTTGGGGAAAATAGACCTTGACATTTGGGAGTTGTAGTTGCTGGGATTTATAGTTCACCTACAATCAAAGAGCATTCTGAACTCCACCAATGATGGAATTGAACCAAACTTGGCACACATAATTCCCATGACCAACAGAAAATACTTTGTTTTCTGAAGGTCCTTGGCGACCCCTCTGACACCCCCTCATGACCCCTCCAGGGGTCCTGATCCCCAGGTTGAGAAACACTGATCTAAACCAAACTTGTGGAGCGCTCCTTTAATTGAAGGGGAAATGCTGGAGGAAAAGGGGAGCATCGGATAAGAGCATGGGATAAAATGGAATGTTGGATAAGTGAAGGTCGGATAATCGAGACTCTACTGTGCATGCTAACCATGTTTTTGCTGTGCTTCTGTAATCTATTCGCTTTGCAAAAAGAAAAAGAGAGGAATAAGGGGGCTTTTAAAGCTAAAAAGAAATGATTTTTCATATTTGATTCTAAGAAATTGCTTGAGGAAAACCTGCTTCATTGTTCAGCTTGGAAAGTGTGTCTTTGGGTGGATCATAGAGCACATAATTAATAATCATGTAAGCATAAAGTGATTGGACCCTTTATCAGAAGTCACCTGCTTTCAAAGAAATGAAAGTTAACTAGAAACTTAGTACCATGCATGAGCATACCACACTCAATCAGCTAGTAAGGAAAAAACACCCGATTTATGAGAATTCACATGTTTTGTAGGAAATAAAAACTTACTTTGAGAAAAATATAAAAGAGTCAACCCATTTTTATGTTCATGGTGGCAGTTTCACTTTTGCCTGCATGAACAGGACTGTATTGTCAAAGGCTTTCATGGCCGGAAGCACTGGGTTGTTGCAGGTTTTTTTCGGGCTATATGGCCATGTTCTAGAGGCATTCTCTCCTGACGTGTCACCTGCATCTATGGCAAGCATCCTCAGAGGTAGTGAGGTCTGTTGGAACTAGGAAAAAGGGTTTATATATCTGTGGAATGACCAGGGTGGGACAAAGGACTCTTGTCTGCTGGAGCTAGGTGTGAATGTTTCAACTGACCACCTTGATTAGCATTTGATGGCCTGGAAGTGCCTGGGGCAATCTTTTGTTGAGAGTTGATTAGATGTCCTTCTTCAAGGGAACCACTGAACGCAGAGGGAAGCTGATGAGGAAACACAACATACAAACTATCTACAGACCCACCAAGAAAATCCAACAAATGCTACGTTCAGCAAAGGACAAGAGGGATCCTCTCACTTCTGCAGGAGTCTACCGTGTACCATGCAGCTGTGGACAAGTCTACATAGGGACCACCAAATGCAGCATTGCCTGAACACGAATCAAGGAACATGAAAGGCACTGCAGACTACTTCAGCCAGAGAAGTCAGCCATAGCAGAGCACCTGATGAACCAACCTAGACACAGCATATTATTTGAGAACACAGAAATGCTGGACCACTCCAACAACCACCATGTCAGACTACACAGAGAAGCCATTGAAATCCACAAGCATGTGGACAATTTCAACAGAAAGGAGGAAACCATGAAAATGAACAAAATCTGGCTACCAGTATTAAAAAACTCTAAAATTACAACAGCAAAACAACAGAGAGGAAACAATCAGGGACAGCTAATCACCTCTCAACAAAGATTGCCCCAGGCACTGCCAGGCCATCAAATGCTAATCAAGGTGGTCAGTTGAAACATTCACACCTAGCTCCAACAGACAAGAGTTCTTTGTCCCACCCTGGTCATTCCACAGATATATAAACCCATTTTTCCTAGTTCCAACAGACCTCACTACCTCTGAGGATGCTTGCCATAGATGCAGGCGAAACGTCAGGAGAGAATGCCTTTAGAACATGGCCATATAGCCCGAAAAAACCTACAACAACCCAATGAACAGGACTGTCCACCATTTGTTTTCTCCTCCCGCGCCTTCTCTGATCCTGCGCCTTCACGAATCCACTACATACAGTACCATTTTTTTCTATGAACCCCAAGGCAGCCTCCAGAATCCTATTATAAGCCCCTTGGTCATTTTCCGGGGCACCCAACTTTGCAAACTGTCCCCTTTGTGCTCCTTACCTCCACCCGCCATCTGTGCACACTTGCAGGCACAGCGGTCATTGTCAACATCCTTGGTGCTGAATTCTGTCCCCGAAGGACTTAGGCTGCTTGTCCGTCCGGCTGTGCCACTGTATTTCCTTGCATAAAGCCTACAAAAGGAGAATGCATGGCTATCAGCTACAATTATAACATCAGCTATTTCACCTCTGAGCTTTGGGTTACCAGAGTCAACAGTGGAAAAGGGTTCGTGTTCCTTTAATTCCTATTTTGGAAACTAGCATGTGGAAGCTGAACCCTAAAATGCGGTGTATAAAGAGCAAAAATAAAACAAAACAGTATAAACAGCGTAAAATAGTAGACATAGAATATAAAGATTCAGCCCGAGAAAGGAGGCTATAATATAAAATATTATAAACAATATGTGAAGTTTCAGCATAGTATAGTATAAACATAGTATAAAATAGTATACCAGTATGTGGTTTGAACCTAAAAGGCAGTCTAAAAATAGTAGAAATACGAGGGCTATTCGGAAAGTAAGGTTGCATTTTTTAAAAAAATATCAAGAATGAATATATTTTAATCAAACCTACATGGATTGTAGCATAGCTATTACATTATTTTTCCATATAATCACCATTCAGTTCAATACATTTTGTCATCCATGTGAAGAGATTTTGATGCCTGTGGCATAGAAGTTTCCCTCCACCTTTGCCAGTTAGTTTGCCACCTTGTCGTTGTTGGAAAATTGTTTTCCATCAAGGTGTTCCTTCAATTTAGTGAACAGATGATAGTTACTGGGTGCAAAATCGGGGCTGTGAGAGGGGTGGCTTAAAACATCCCAACCAAATGAAGTCAACAACTCTTGCTAGGTTCTTGTGGGTTTTTTTGGGCTATATGGCCATGTTCTAGAGGCATTTTTCTCCTGACGTTTCGCCTGCATCTATGGCAAGCATCCTCAGAGGTAGTGAGGTCTTGCGTTGCATGAGTGGTGTGCGGACATGCATTGTCATGAATGAGACACACTCCCGCTGTCAGTATCCTACAATGTTTGTTTTGGATGGCTCTGAAAAGTTTCTTCATGGTCTCACAATATATTCAGTACTCATTTTGTCACATGTTGTCTTGACAGTATGTCTTCTCTATAAACTGAAATGATTTTGCGATTAATTACAGCAGCGTTCATGTCCTTCGCATTTAGGTAGTATATTACAGTGCAAACTTCACACTTGGAGGGAAACGGAATGAGGATGCTCATCTCTAACCTTCACCACAATGCCAGTCGATGAGCTACTGGTGACTGGCACTGCTCGTTCATTTCTGCTGGATTCCCACTACACAGCAGTGATACCAACTTCCCCTGAGAAAATTCCATGAGAATTGAAACGATTTTGCGAAGAATCAGAGCGGTGTTCATGTCCTTAGCATTTAGGTAGTGCATTACAGTGCAAACTTTGCAGTTGGAGGGATACGGAATGAAGACGCTCATCTCTATCCTTCACCACAATGTCAGTCAATGAGCTATTGACGACTGGCACTGCTCATTTTCTTCCACTGGCTTCCCGCTACACAGCAGTGATACCAACTTCCCCTGAGAAAATTCCCCGTGAGAGCTATGTGCCTTGTAACCTTACTTTCAGGATAACCCTCATAGTATAAAATAGTAGAAACAATATGTGGAGGTTTAACCCTAAAGGGCAATCTATATATAAAAACAGTATAAATGGTATAAAATACGAGGGGTATTTTTTAAATAAGGTCCGTTTTGTTGTAGACACTAGTAGTTCGCGCGCATACCGCAACGAGCGCGTGCGTCGTGTACCGGCATGCCTCGGGAACAACTGTGCTCAGTTTCCGCTCTGTAGCTAACCTGTACGGTTCTGTTCTGTGCTTTAAAAATGTTTAAGACTATCAACTCACCCTCCGCATGTGAGGTTCGCTCAGTGATACGGTTTTTGTCAGCAAGGAACCTGCCTGCTGCAGAAATTCATTGACAGATTTGTGAAGTGTGCGGTGATACTGTTATGAGTGATAGCAAAGTGCGTAAGTGGGTACGACAATTCAAAGATGGCCGTGACAACGTCCATGATGAGGACCGCTCCGGTCGCCCTTCTTTGATTACGGACGATTTGGTTATCGGAGCAGGCGGCAAGTTTTTATGAAGAGGGTATTTTAAAATTGGTTCAGAGGTATGATAAGTGTTTGAACAAACTTGGCAACTATGTCGAAAAATAGAGTGAAGTATGTACTTTCTGAAAATAAATTTACTTTTTTGAAATAAACTTTCGTTGTGTACTTATGTTCAAACGGACCTTACTTTAAAAATACCCCTCGTAGTATTACTTGTAGAAGGTTCAACCCCAAAAGTCAATAATAAGAAACAGTAGAAATAGCAGGAAATAGTAGAAAACATATGAGATGATTCAACCCTAAAAGGCAGTTGAATCTATAAACAGTACATGGAGGTTTGGCCTTAAAAGGCAGTCTATAAATAGTAGAAATAGTAGAAAATAATACAAATGTCATAAAATAGTATTATTAGCATGTAAGGTGCAACCCTAAATAGAATCATAGAATCATAGAATCAAAGAGTTGGAAGAGACCTCATGGGCCATCCAGTCCAACCTGCTGCCAAGAAGCAGGAATATTGCATTCAAATCACCCCTGACAGATGGCCATCCAGCCTCTGTTTAAAAGCTTCCAAAGAAGGAGCCTCCACCACACTCCGGGGCAGAGAGTTCCACTGCTGAATGGCTCTCACAGTCAGGAAGTTCTTCCTCGTGTTCAGGTGGAATCTCCTTTCTTGTAGTTTGAAGCCATTGTTCCGCGTCCTAGTCTCCAAGGAAGCAAAAAACAAGCTTGCTCCCTCCTCCCTGTGGCTTCCTCTCACATAGTTATACATGGCTATCATATCTCCTCTCAGCCTTCTCTTCTTCAGGCTAAACATGCCCAGCTCCTTAAGCCGCTCCTCATAGGGCTTGTTCTCCAGACCCTTGATCATTTTAGTCGCCCTCCTCTGGACACATTCCAGCTTGTCAATATCTCTCTTGAATTGTGGTGCCCAGAATTGGACACAATATTCCAGATGTGGTCTAACCAAAGCGGAATAGAGGGGTAGCATGACTTCCCTAGATCTAGACACTATGCTCCTATTGATGCAGGCCAAAATCCCATTGGCTATCTCTAAAAAATGTAGAAAATAGTTGATGTAGTATGTGGTTTGATCCTAACAATAGTATAAATAAGTATGTAAAAGACAGCATTTACATGGTATAGAACTCAGCATAGTGTTTCAGCATTGGAAGACCAGGCTTTGAATCCTGCTGCAGGAGGGCCATGGAAACCTATTGGGTGACCTTGGGCAAATCACACTCTCTCAGCCTCAGAGGAAGGCAATGGCAACGAGTCTTGCCAGGAAAATATAATGATAGATTAGACATAGGTTCAGCCTACACGGGGAATGATTTGAAGGCTCAGAACAACAATCAAAATAGCGGCTCTTCCTGGGCAAGGGGACAACAACACACAGTCCTTGACTGAGGCTCACCGATAATTCTGCTCCTCAGGGCCGACTTGGAAATGTTCGTATAGGGCATAGGCTTCGATGTTTTCCCAGTCTTGGAGTTTGATACGAAGGGAATAGGAACCTTGGTTTGTGAGTGAGTGGATCAAGTCATTGCCCAGCCAGTACTCTCCAAGTGGGGATCCAAAGCCCTGCAAAAGATGGAAACATGAAAGTGAAATAATAATAATAGTAATCATCACCATCCATGCAGGAATATTATGATAATTCCAGCACAATATGTGATGGTAGGTGAAAAGAAGCAAGGGAGTGGAGGGATGATTTATTGTTGCCACCAATTTGAAAGGAACCAGTATTCAGGAGATTTTACTCCAGTTCCCAATTTTAAAAAGAACTGGCCGATTTGCAATGGAGGTTGCCGATTAGGAACCAAATTTACCATCAAGTTGGAAGGGAGGCTGTTCAATTGCACCTCCTCCTTTATTAAGAAAGTAATAACTTAGTAGTAATTACACTGTATATACTGTAGCGTGACTGGAGAGAAGAATGTAGATTTATTTGGTTACTTTTCCCTGCGTTTCTGCCACCACGTGAGGTAAGTTGTAATATTGTGAGAAATGGCACTTTGGACACAGAATAGACGGAGCTGAGGCAATCTTCAAATAAAAGTTAACAATTTTATTAAGTACACAGCGTGTGGTTGCAAGACGTAACTTTTCCTTGTTGCACTTGGAATAATACTTGTAACTTTAACAGTTCATTCTTTCAAGTAACACAGTATCTTTCTGACGTAGAGCACTTGTTTCAGACAAAGTTTCAATACAGGGATGTTTCCCTTATTTGATCCTCCCTAGATCAAATACTAAGTAAACTATTCTTTAGCCTCTCCTTAGACTAAAAGAATACCAGCTATGTTTCACCATTTGGCTGCACTAGCCTGAGAAACTTCCAATAGCCAAACCCAACTTTTCAAAGCCTCAAAGCTTTGCTTCACAAGTCACTCCGCCACCTTTCCTTTCCTTCTCTCCCAACTCCTAACTCCTCACTCCTCTGAACCTAACTCCTCTAAACCTAAACCCTAACTGATTTTTAACTGTCGTTTTTTCAAACTCTCCCCTCTAAGCTCCTCCCACTTCCCTCTCTCCTGCATCGGTCTCCATGGCAACGCACATGGAGGACTCCTCTGACTTAGGCCGCTCCAGCATTACTGCAGCCAATCTAAACACAAATACAGTTAAAATCATACAATTTATAATCAACTCCTGTACAGTAGGTAAACCATAATTCAGTCAATTGAGATTACAAATATAGGAACGATTAGCAACCTGTTTCAACAGAGCCTTCAGTCCCCTTCTGTCGCATTGAGGTGCTAAACCTGAGTCTAAGCTCTAACCCAGGCCTGGGCAAACTTGAGCCCTCCAGGTATTTTGGACTTCAACTCCCACAATTCCTAACAGCCTCAGACCCCTTCCTTTTCACCCCTCAGCCGTGAAGTTGAAGTCCAAAACATCTGGAAGGCCCAAGTTTGCTTATACCTACTCTAACCCTGTACTGCTGTTTCTCCACATTTGTGGCTTTTACTTTTGCTGATTTCATTATTCACAGAGTTTATTAAAAAAATGTGCTCCCTAGGCATCTCAAGGATGCATCTATACCGCAGAATTAACACAGTTTGACACCACTTTAACTGCCATGACTCAATACAGGGGGATCATGGGAGCTGGAGTTTTACAAGGTTCATAGCCTTCTTTGCTGGAAAGTGCTGGTGCTTTTCCAAACCACAAATCTCAGGATTTCATAGCATTGAGTTATGACAGTTAAAGTGGTATCAAACTGCATTCATTCTACAGTGCAGATGTATCCTCAGTGGGGAGGGGAAAGTCCTGATTAATCCTACACTGTCCCACTTTTTCAGCTGCTATTAAAATATTGCAGTTTATATTTTTCTATATATTCGTTTACAGTATTTATTTTCTGCCCTTCTCGCTCCGAGCGGGTGAGAAGGGTGGAATATAAATACTGTAAATAAATAAATAAATAGCACACATACAGCAAACATTCAATGTTGATTATACAACTACAAGACAGACAACAACAGATCAAGGAATTACCTACCATCACAATATGTGATGGTAGGTAAACCATAATTCAGTCAATTGAGATTACAAAGATAGGAATAGCCTTTCCCCATCTTTTGGCATCTTTGGAGGCTGTGCTTGGTTTCGGCCACAGGGGAGTGCTGTCGCTCCATTTCCTTGCCGAAGAGTTTTACTTTGTTTGCAAACTTCCTGCTTTTTCTGATCAAAACACCGTGTGCCCAAGGGGGAGTCTCTCATTTGGTATTAGCCATTGATTGAGGTTCTGGGTTTGAGCCTGCCACTTTTGGACTCTCGCTTGCTGGGGTGTTCCAGCGAGTGTCTCTGTAGATCTTAGAAAACTATTTCTTGATTTAAGTCGTTGACATGCTGGCTGATACCCAAACAAGGGATGAGCTGGAGATGTCACTGCCTTGGTCCTTTCACTATTGGCTGCTACTTCCCGGCGGATGTCAGGTGGTGCAATATCGGCTAAGTAGTGTAGTTTCTCCAGTGGTGTAGGGCACAGACACCCCATGATAATGCGGCATGTCTCATTAAGAGCCACATCCACTGTTTGAGCGTGGTGAGATATGTTCCACTCTGGGCATGCATACTCAGCAGCAGAGTAGCATAGCGCAAGGGCAGATGTCTTCACTGTGTCTGGTTGTGATCCCCAGGTTGTGCCAGTCAGCTTTCTTGGTTGCTACCTGCATTTTCCTTACCTGTTTGTATTCCTTCCAGGTGCGCTGGAAATCCACAGACCCATCCTTTCGGAGCTGGATCACGGTCCAGCCACCTCCACTGGTTTCCATATCACAAAGTACCTGGTAACAGAAGAAGAAAAAAAGAATTATTTAGGGGTGCATCTATTTAGGGTTTGGCAGCACTTGAACTGTTATGGTTCAAAGCTATGGAATTCTGCAATGTGTAGTTTTGAGAGATATTTACCCTTTTCTATCAGAAGGCTGTAGGGATACAAAAAACTACAAAACTCAAGATTCCATACGATGAACCCATGGCAGTGAAAGTAGTGCAGTAGCACAGTGGGTTAAACTGCTAGCTGCAGAAAATTTGATGACCAGAAGGTTGGTAGTTCAAAGCCACAGGTCAGGGCGAGCTTCCACTGTTAGCCCTAGCTTCTGCCAACCTAGCAGTTCAAAAACATGCAATGTGAGTAGATCAATAGGTGCCACCTCAGTGGGAAGGTAAACACGACCAGGAGGGACTATAGACAACAGGCTTCTTGGCATGAAAAAATGGAATAAGAGCACCTCCCCATGGCCAGAGTTGAGCACAGTCTCCAGATGCTGGAGATGGAAAGGGAAACCTTTGCCTTTCTTTGTATTGTATGTCATTGCTGTTATTGTACAAAGGCATTGAATGTTTGCCTATATATGTGTCTACTGTAATCTACTCTGAGTCCCCTTGGAGATAGATATGTGGTCTAACCACATAGAGGTGAGGTTAGACCACACCTGAAATACGGTGTCCAATTCTGGGCACTGCAATTGAAGGGAGATGTTGACAAGCTGGTGTGTGTCCAGAGGAGGGTGACTCAAAGGATCAAGGATCTGGAGAACAAGCCCTATGAGGAGCGGCTTAAAGAACTGGGCATGTTTAGCCTGAAGAAGTGAAGGCTGAGAGGAGACATGATAGCCATGTATAAATATGTGAGAGGAACACATAGGGAGGAGGGAGCTACTTGTTTACTGCTTCCCTGGAGACTAGGACATGGACCAATGGCTTCAAACTACATCTGAACATCAGGAAGAACTTCCTGACTGTGAGAGCCGTTCAGCAGTGGAAGTCTCTGCCCCGGAGTGTGGTGAAGGCTCCTTCTTTGGAAACTTTTAAACAGAGACTGGATGGCCATCTGTCAGGGGTGCTTTGACTGCAATATTCTTGCTTCTTGGCAGGGGGTTGGACTGGATGACCCATGAGGTCTCTTCCAACTCTATGATTCTATGATTGTATAAATAAAGTGTATTATTAGTGTATTATAATAATTCTACAACATGGATGACAATCCATTCTGCAGACATGAGGGTTTTTTTGTACCTGTCATGCCTCCATAGAGACTTTACTATTTTATCAAATTAAGTCTCCCTTAGTTAGAAATTATTGCTCGAAGTTGGTATTACAAGTTTAAGAAACCCTGCCACAAGTGTATGGAAGACAAGGCAAGAAAGGACACAGAAGAAAGGCAGAGAGCAAGCAAAAGCTAACCTCTAACTTTTCCTAAAATTTTTAATTGTTGGTTCTGGGTGGAGTTAGAATTGACTCTATTAAATTCCTTGTTAACTGTTCACCTGGGAGTTACCCTGCTTTGATGTACAAGAAGCACTGCCTGAATATCAAGCAAAAAGTAGGTGCTAAAGCTGACTGGCACAACCTGGGGATCACAACCAGACACAGTGAAGACATCTGCCTTTGTGCTTTGCTACTCTGCTGCTGAGTACACATGCCCAGTGTGGAACACATCTCACCACTCTAAAACAGAGGATGCAGCTCTTAATGAGACATGATGCATTATCATAGGATGTCTACGCCCTACACCGCTGGAGAAATTAAACTGTTTCGCCTAGGTATGGCTAAACCCAGACCTGGGGGCAGGATGTAGCCCCTTGGGCTCTTTTCTCAGCCCCTCTCTCACCATTGTATCCTCCCTTCCTTCTCTCTTTCCTTCAACCTTCCTCGCCTCCCTGGAGAAATTATACTGTTTAGCCAACTGCCACATCCACTGTGAAGTAGCAGCCAATAATGAAATGACCTCTATGCTGATGATCGTGCCATTACTGCTCAAGCAGGGAGCTTTGAGACTGTAGAACAGAAGCTCTCCGAAGCTCTAGGTGCTCTTACTGCCTACTACAGGGAAAACCAGCTGATCCCTAACCCATCTAAAACACAGACATGTGCCTTTCATCTCAAGAACAGAGAAGCATCCCGAGCTCTGAAGATCACCTGGGAAGGAATCCCACTGGAGCATTGCAGCGCACCCAAATACCTTGGAGTCACTCTGGACCGTGCTCTTACCTACAAGAAGCACTGCCTGAACATCAAGCAAAAAGTGGGTGCTAGAAACAATATCATACGAAAGCTGACTGGCACAACCTGGGGATCACAACCAGATACAGTGAAGACATCTGCCCTTGCGCTGTGCTGAGTACACATGCCCAGTGTGGAACACATCTCACCACACTAAAACAGTGATGTGGCTCTTAATGAGACATGCCGCATTATCACGGGGTGTTTGCACCCTACACCACTGGAGAAATTACACTGTCTAGCCGGTATTGCACCACCTGACATCCGCCGGGAAGTAGCAGCCAATAGTGAAAGGACCAAGGCAGAGACATCTCCAGCTCATCCCCTGTTTGGGTATCAGCCAGCACGTCAACGACTTAAATCTAGAAATATTTTTCTAAGATCTACAGAGACACTCGCTGGAACACCTCAGCAAGCGAGAGTCCAAAAGTGGCAGGCTCAAACCCAGAACCTCAACCAATGGCTGATACCAAATGAGACTCCCCCTGGGCACACAGAGGACTGGGTGACTTGGAAGGCGCTGAACAGACTGTGCTCTGGCACCACGAGATGCAGAGCCAACCTTCAGAAATGGGGCTACAAAGTGGAATCCGACATGCGAGTGTGGAGAGGAGCAAACCACTGACCACCTGCTGCAATGCAACCTGAGCCCTGCCACATGCACAATGGAGGACCTTCTTGCAGCAACACCGGAGGCACTCCAAGTGGCCAGATACTGGTCAAAGGACATTTAACCAACCAAACTCACAAGTTTTGTATTTTGTCTGTTTGTTTGCTTTGTTCTGTTAGAAATGTAATATAATGGACTGGTTGCTCTGACACGACAAATAAAATAAATAAATAAATGAAATGACCAAGGCAATGACATCTCCGGTCCATCCCCTGTTCGGAAAGGAATATATTTATTTATTAATCAAATTATTTATTAATCAGTTTTATATACCGCCACTCTCCGAAGGCTCGGAACGGTTAACAACATACATATCTGATACATTACATTTAAAATCAAAGAAAAATTTCAATCAGCAAGATTCAAATGCCAGCCCAAATAAATAAGTTTTACAAGCTCTACAAAAAGATAGATTTTCTAAGATCTACAGAGATACTTGCAGGAACACCTCAGCAAGCGAGAGTCTAAAAGTGGCAGGCTAAAACCTGGAACCTTGAGTCATGGCTGATACTGAATGAGAGACTCCCTCCTAGGTACACAAAAGACTGGGTGACTTGGAAGGCATTGAACAGAATGCATTCTGGCACCACGAGATGCAGAGCCAACCTTAAGAAATAGGGCCACAAAGTGGGTGCAGAGAAGAGCAAACCACAGATCACCTACTACAATGCAGTCTGAGCCCTGTCACATGCACAATGGAGGATCTTCTTAAATCACCTTAAATCAAGAAATAATTTTCTAAGATCTACAGCGATACTCGCAGGAACACCTCAGCAAGCAAGAGACTATAAGTGGCAGGCTGAAAATCCAGCACCTCAATCAGTGTCTGGGACTGGACGAGAAATGCCCCACATGGCACACAGAAGACTGGGTGACTTGGAATGTACCGAACAGGCTGCACTCTGGCACCACGAGATGCAGAGCCAACCTTAAGAAATGCGGACACAAAGTGGAGTCCACGACATATGTGTGTGGAGAAGAGCAAACCACAGTCCCCCTATTACAATGCAGTCTGAGCCCCGACACATGCACAATGGAGGACCCTCTTATAGCAACACCAGAGGCACTCCAAGTTGCCAGCTACTAGTCAAAGGACCTTTAGTATAATGCCAAGTTTAAAACTCTGTGTTTTTTTAAATACATTACAACTGTACCCTTGGTTAGCTTCTGATACAATAAAATAAACTGTATTGTCGAAGGCTTTCATGGCCGGAATCCATGGGTTGTTGTAGGTTTTTCCGGGCTATATGGCCATGTTCTGGAGGCAATTTTTCTCCTGACGTTTCGCCTGCATCTATGGCAAGCATCCTCAGAGGTAATGAGGTCTGTTGGAACTAGGAAAAAGGGGTTTATATATCTGTGGAATGACCAGGGTGAGACAAAGGACTTTTGTCTGCTGGGGCTAGCTGTGAATGTTTCAGCTGATCACCTTGATTTGCATTCAATGGCTTGGAAGTGCCTGGGGGGAATCTTTTGTTGAGAGTGATTTTATGTGCCTGTTTGTTTCCTCTCTGTTGTTTTGCTGTTGTAATTTTTGAGTTTTTTTAATACTGGTAGCCAGATTTTGTTCATTTTCATGGTTCTTCCTTTCTGTTGAAATTGTCCACATGCTTGTGGATTTCAATGGCTTCCCTGTGTAGTCTGACATGGTGGTTGTGAGAGTGGTCCAGCATTTCTGTGTTCTCAAATAATATGCTGTGTCCAGGTTGGTTCATCAGGTGCTCTGCTATGGCTGATTTCTCTGGTTGGAGTAGTCTGCAGTGCCTTTCATGTTCCTTGATGCGTGTCTGGGCGCTGCGTTTGGTGGTCCCTATGTAGACTTGTCCACAGCTGCATGGTACACGGTAGACTCCTGCAGAGGTGAGAGGATCCCTCTTGTCCTTTGCTGAACGTAATCTCTGCAGGAGTCTACCGTGTATCACGCTGCTCGTTACAGAACTCCTACTACAACAGAGCCTGTAGTACAGAACCTGTATTACTGAAGAGAATTGCACTAAGCATAATAAGATACAGACTACACCCTGAGGAAGATATTGTTCGAAACAAGGATAAACATACCGGAAGACCTTGTTGAGATTTTGTTGCCTATGAAAGACCTTGTTGCCCAAGAAGAATTCCTTGAGACTGTCTTATCAAAAGAAGAATTTTTTTTGAAGATAAAGATAGAGACTCTGGAATTTCTTCACTGAAAGGATGGACTCTATTACCTTTAGTCTGTTGTTGATTTCTCTATGTTAATGTGCTGATAACATATTTATTTAATGCTATAAAGTCTCAGACAAGTTATGCCAATAGAGAACATAGAATACTGTTGTATATTACTGTCTTGAGAGTCTGCTAAGATTTACATACATACATTTTTGTTCTTTGTCATTTGAGATACTTGTGCATTGTTTGCTAGACTACACAGAGAAGCCATTGAAATCCACAAGCATGTGGACAATTTCAACAGAAAGGAAGAGACCATGAAAATGAATAAAATCTGGCTACCAGTATTAAAAAAAACTCAAAAATTACAGCAGCAAAACAACAGAGGGGAAACAAACAGGCACATGAAATCACTCTCAACAAAAGATTCCCCCCAGGCGCTTCCAAGCCATTGAATGCAAATCAAGGTGATCAGCTGAAACATTCACAGCTAGCCCCAGCAGACAAGAGTCCTTTGTCTCACCCTGGTCATTCCACAGATATATAAACCCATTTTTCCTACTTCCAACAGACCTCACTACCTCTGAGGATGCTTGCCATAGATGCAGGCGAAACGTCAGGAGAAAATTGCCTCTAGAACATGGCCATATAGCCCGGAAAAACCTACAACAACCCAATAAAATAAACTGTTCACCTGTGTAGATCCAACTTTGTTCCTGGCGAGATTAAAGCACTTTCTGGAGTACGTATTTTTTTAAAAAACCAAACAAACAAACAAAAAACAAAAAAGTTGATGTTCAGACTCACTTTAGCAGTCTCTGTAGTATTGGGGACCCTTATGGTGTAGACTCCGCTTTTGGTAAATCCCAGTTTGTAGGCAGCTGCACAGTCCTTGAATGTCGTCTGCTCTTCCAAAGAGGGCAGGGAAATTTCTGTCAGGGTCAGATAAATAAGGGTGATTTTTTTAAAAAAGGAATTCTTTCTTTAGCAAGAGTTCTGTCTTCATTTCCAAACAGGAATGTATGCTCTCACTGTGCTGTTTGAATGATAGCATTTGCAGGTGATATGAAATGCAGAATGCAATGTAGGACCTGCCAAGGTCACAAACGTGCAACCCTAACCCTGGTGGAGCAACTGTACGTACGGTTGCATTGGGACACCAAGCCTATAAGGTGCTTGACCGTCTCAGCTAGCGAGGTCTGCTGCTTCTGCAGGGCTGTATTGTTCAGGAGAGCCATGCCCAGGCGCTGCTCCAGGTGACCAACAAAGTCCATCTGCTTGGAAAGCAATCGTTGCATTTCCAACTTCTCCGACCGAAGGCCTTGAAGTTCCTCCTCACGCTTCCCCTCCAGAGCCAGGACCTTCCTCTCTAGGAAGCTTCAAAAAAGAAAGTAGAAAGGATAGCAAAGAGCTCAGAGTCAGCGATACTGAAGGACCACGTGGGGATCCCATTGTGGCGAACCCACCTTCAATCATCTTATGCTTGCTCTTTGTTTAAGGCTGCTCTTTTTTTTTTGTTTGTA